TGTCCTAACCATCTCAGTCAATGTAATTGTTTTGTGAGGTCGCTATTCTTAGGATAAAGTCTGAAAGACCACTTGACTCAGTGGTCTCGGACAGTATCAAACAAGATTCAGAAGCAAAATCAATAGTGATCATTTTGCACCTCTTCTGTTTTCGCAACTATTCAAAGTGTTACTGCGGCGTGCGTGATACTGACAAGCTTTATCAGTAGTACACAGACGCAGATTGAAAGGAAGTAGCCAAAATTGAAAACAACATTTTAAGTCAATGGCTATAGAAAAGCAGAAGTATTTACTCCTCAAATTTTGGATTCAGCTTACGCTGTAATCAGGAAATAATCTGATTGGACAACTTTTCGTCTCAAGGTTTAACCTTCAGAAAGTATGTTACCAAATCTCTTGTCTTCTAAAATTACAATATAATCTAACTGCTGCTACTCGAAACGTGCTCAGCAAATTTACTAATCGTATATATTTCGCCCCTCTTTTTCTCTACATTCTTGTTATAATTGTTGGTGTGGTAGATTTTTAGGTGCTTTTCATCTACCAAGTCATATTTCATATAAATGAATAACTTTGAGTTCTGTATCGTTAGAATCTACTAGCCAAATAAATCTGTCCCTGATGATGATTCATAATACTGACTGAATTATGTGGAGTGGGGATTAGAGCCACTACTTATTGATTGACAGTTTAATGACTAATGTTGTTTTAACAAAGCATAGTTTTGGAATAGTAAAATAATTCCAGCTATAATAATTCACAAGAATGAATTTATTACAATGCCTAAATGAATTTAGAGCATTCTGTTCCTAGATAACACAAAGGCACTTGGTGAACTCAAGTCATACAGCTCCACCACAGTAGTTTTACAAAGTTATTTACATACAAGGTGAGAAAGAATGATACAAGGGGTGTTTGGTTTTGGCTTTTGTGTATTGGCGGGAAATCTAGCGATTCATCAGTATAACCTCGAACTCTGTTCAGTCTCTTATTCTTTCTAACATAGTCTTAATCTCTTTCCTAAAACAATAAATATTGATTGAGAGAATGCTGTGATCACCTGAAGACATATTAGTCTCGTGGAAGTGTAAATCAAAGTTACATAGATGTCTTCACACTAATCTATCAGTTACACCAATTATATATTTAAAAAACTGCTGGCCGTACAATTAGGCGTGTTTATCGTCGGATTTCCAAACACCGTCCTGTGTGATTAAATATATATATATACATATACATATATACATATACATGTATGTACATATATATATACATAATTTTAGAGCAGGAAGAGGAAATTATCGAAAAGAATATTCTTTACTCAAATTTTCTTTAGTCTTTTAAGTGCGAACTTGTTCAAAATACACATTCATCACCCATTAACTGGAACTACAATAACTAAACAAATGCAGTTTACACCGTCTCTGGCGTAGACATGTTATCCGGCTGGCTGTTGACCAAAGGGCGTGAGTACTGCTCAGCAGTTTGCTCTGTCCTCCTTTATTACTGGCTGTGAGTGAGACATGGCCGTTGAAAGTGGAAGATGTGAAAAGGCTAGCTGCCTTTGATCATAAGTGCCTACATTCTATCTCCCGTGTTAAGTGGTGTAATAGGGTGAGCAATATTGAGGTTAGGCGTCAGTCGAGTACTGGGTAGATGGGAGAGGAAATCCATCGACAAGGCTGTGAAGTCACATCGATTGAGATGGTTAGGACTTGTGTTACGTATACCTAGCCATTAATCGCCTTCCTCGACAATAGGCAATGGTAGCTGGCATAGGATGGATCAGGTTGGAAAAGAGCTAGTGGTTGTCAAACCAAAACGTGGCTTCATCAGTTAATGAAATCCATAACAGTTAGTTTAAGTCAGACACGTCGGGAGGTGTAGACGCCTGTCTGGTTGGGGTCTTCGGGACGGTGAAATCCAATGGCTGGAGATAATTGGTGATATGGCTCAAAATCGTTCTCATTGGCTGGTGCAGATGCATCTACTCCTTATAATATCCAATAAATGTATATTGTTCTTCCATGTTATTATTCTCATTGCCTTATATCTCTGTATATTATCTCTGTTTTGCATTACTTTTTACTTTCTTCTGTTGCCTTGTATGCTAAGTGAAGTGTGGTGAAGGTAGAAGTTGCATGACATTTTCACATCTTTGACTTCTTGCCTCCTATTTCTTCTTTTGCTAAACAAAACTATGTGTATAGTTTATCACACACACACACACACACTCAGATAAATACAGTAATGAAATAAATTATTATAGAAAAAAGGAAAATATTGATCATTATACTAGGGTACATTTTACATCCACGTTAGATCAATTCGATTGCTCCCCTAAATGTAGGTAATAAAAGGATCGAAAAAAACAGGAGGATATTTTAAAACTAGAACCTACGAATAAAAGGTTTATAACAGTCAGGGGATGGTAGAATTAATAAAACACAGCAGTGATTCAATAAATAAATGAATAAATAACTTAGATTAGAAAAATAAAGTACAATCCTCATAATTACTACCGGTATGTGTTATTATGATCTTAGTATACATATGTGAAGCTGCTAGACAGTGCACAAAATCAAGAGAGAGGGAGAGTGAAAGGAGGAGGAGAAGAAGAATCAACTACGAAAATTGCACGTATTTACATACACGCATACATACACAAACAAACACATACGGAAAAGGAAATGACGACCATATTAGTAATTATTGCAGTGATATTGACTGCTGGTGATCTTGAAACAAAGTAAAAATAGGAGATATTCTTTAAACAAACGTACAGACTTAAAGCAATACTTTTAAAAATAAACACAGCCATAAACACATACACCATAAGGAAAGTTTTTTTTAAAGTGTTTAAGTATTACAAACGATAATTTTAGGAGTGTCTGTGTCTGTATGCATATTCCTATATTCAACTTCTCTCTTTCTTATCCTCTCTGTGCAAATAAAAATGTATTTTCATGTGTTGTGTGACACGTAGACAAATATAGCTCACTTTATAAACTAGTGGGAAGTCGTGACCAGTGGAGTACAGCAGGTCGGCTCTGTCAGGACAAATACTCGCCACGGATGACATTCGCTAGTGGTCACGCCATATCATGAATCGGCAAAAGTTGGAATTCATGCACTGGCCATTGGATCAGGTCCCAGTGGCTTAATGGTCCACGAGCTCGCCTTATAACCAGAAGGTCCTGTTTACGAACCTCAGTGGATGCGTACTGATGAAAAGTCCCGAACTAGGCCGAAACAGCTGTCCAGTACCCTACACTAATGGTTTTCTAATGGTTCTCTAACCGATATCAGTTCATGATGAAATCCTGAAACCAATCAAATCCCTGCAAACCTACACTTGAATAATAAAAAAGTTATAAAAGATCAAAAGGTTGATACGATACGACACTATGCTTTTATGATCCTAAAGCTAACTAAAGTAGAGCTTCAGTATGTGTTACGCAGTGTCAAACTAGTATCTATCTACCTCGGAGTGAAGCTGTCATTAATGCTGGAGGGAGGAAGTTAAGGTGAAATAGACATCAAGATGATCGGAAATAGCACAAAATTAACGCATGAAGTCATTGACTGTAGTTTCTGTCTAAATTGGTTGTGGTAGACAGGATACTAAAATTTAAACTGTTAGGGGTTTTATTTAACACCTCTGTAGTGACTACACTAATCTTATAATAGATTATGAAAATCTTCTTGTTCCCTGTGACAATGATATTTGCATTTTTCGCGCTTTTTTGATAATTCATTTTATCAAGTCATTCCCCTCATTACTCGTCCCATTTTTCCGCTGTTATATGGATCAACGCAATTCTGAGAGATGCTTTTAGCATTCCGACACTCAGTAGGCATACGATTCAGTTAAGATGGGAAAAAGTGGCTGCATCCTCTCATTTCTAAAAGATATTTAAGGTCTATAATTAGTTAAAATGAGATTATGTAAGTGACATTTACATTCCAAATGCTATTTCCACTACCAACACAAAACTAATAGTGTACAGAATATTTTGAAAAAACAACCAAAGTTTTTTGGATGCGTCTACTTTATCTCACAAAAGTGAACAACTACCTCTGAGCATCACAAAAGTAGGTTAGACTTACAGACGAAAACACAAAAAGTAAAAAAACTAGCCGCTGAGTTTATTCAGATGTGAGATTCAGAGTCTTGGCACTATTGTACTTTACCTATATACCAAGTCATGTAGAAACATAAAGAGAAGAATTAGACTATTGGATGTTGTACAATATTCATGTATTTAATGATGAAAATACCTTTTTAATTTAGTAAAAATATAAATCTACTTTATGGTTCATTTGTTCAAGATCGATTCTCAAAGTCGAATAAATAAATCACAACCTAAAGTGTTTTCGAATGAGACTAAACAAAAAGGATCCAGGTGAGGCATTTTATCCAGCTTGGGAATTATCTTCTGGATTTGTCTGCATCACCATCCACGATTTTCGTGTTGATATTATTATCATTATAATTATTCCCTTCAATTTCGAGTGGAACATACGGCTTCAAACAGCACCTCTCCATTTTGTCCGGTTCTCTGTAGTGCTCATTAGTTGACTCCATGATTGCCCATAGTTTTTTTATCTCTTCCTCAAATGATTTCCTCCATGTCAGCCTGGGACGCCCAATTTACCGTCTCCAAGTCGAATTCCACTCGAGAGCCTGGCACATGATATAACCTAACGGTCTTCTCCTCAGTGTGTGTTTAATCCGTCACCATTTTCTTATAAATATATTTTGAGAAATAAATTGTTGTTTGGTTGTTTCCTGGAGTTACTTCATCACCTGACTTTCAGTATGCAGCCAGCAAAGGCATCTCTGCTGATGGTCCCTAATCATCTCTCAGACCGTAAATACCACACCAATGAAACAAGCTATAATACCAATGGATGCCGTTAAATCTAGTTGAGTAAATTAAGGATTGAAAAAAAAAATTAGAAAGCTTGAACCACAAGAACAACAATGGTGTTGAAATGTAATACTGTATGTCAATGGACGTGAACATTGAACGTTTGTTTTATTGGGTCTGGCAGCCATTAATGGGCAACTGAAAGGCGCGAATGGTCGATCGCTTGCAAGTTGAAGGAAGACTGGAGTTAAATACGAATAAAAGTACTTTATAACTTCATTTGTACTTAACATTTGTTTGTAGACTTTGTAGTTTTCTTCAATTTAATTGCCAAACAATATAATTTCGTTCAAGGAATACTGGTGTTTTGGATTTAAAGTTGAAGAAAGTACATAGTATTTATCGGCTCAATCGCTTAAGTCTTCATTACGATAGGAACTTAGGGCTAAGTTCCTTGACACTGTATGTACTTCTCTTTAATAAAAATATAGAGCTTAGTTGAATTGAAACTAGGATCTGATCAGTGGTAATAGGATGCCGGAATTCAATCAACAGAAAACCAAGTCAAAAAAAAAAAAAAGTGAACGGAGGAGACAAAGCTACAAGTTAACACTCTTTTGTCTATTCAGTTTTTCGCTATATCAACATCGAATAGTTTAGTTAAATAAACACATGTACTTTTAAAACAGTGTGATCACTTTGTGACTGATAACTTTCAACTTACCAAAGTCAAATCTGTTTCAGAGCTAAAGCCTAAACCATGCACTCCACCGGTTTTAGAGTCAGCCCATTGTCCAAATTTTTGTGAAGTTTTTTTAAAAGTCATCTTCTCTGTTAATGTGCTATTGATAATAACCTGAAGTAGAATAACGAGGATTAATTAAAAGAAGTCAACATATCTGTAATGTATATATATATATATATGCTTTGTGGATTAAATGTTTAAATTCAAAGTATGGAGAATTAGACCGAAATTTCACTGGTTATAGTTTTGGTCTAGGTAGTCGTATAATATGATATTACTGATAATTTCAGGATAGAAGTAGATAATTAACTCATCAACCTAAGTATTTAATTTTCAAGCAATGGCTTCCAAGACCTGAACTCAGCTTCATCTAATTAGCTTTTGAGTGATGAAGTAGATCATCGTTACTCCGCACACAAAAGTATCGCTAAAGGGGTAATCTATATTGAGGAACTGATATGATTTAGAGTTTAATATACAAAACTTTACCTAGTTAATGAGATACTTTCTAGATTTTGTTTTCCAGTAGTATGAAATCTAACAAAGTGATTACAAATCTGGAAGAAATACCTTCACTTTTATTTACTGTATGCTTTCTCTTCATAATAAACTCCTACACTATATTTCACTTCTCAAACAGATCGAAAGCTAAAGCAATGGAGTTTCAACATCAAGAGTGCATTCGATACCTTCTTAAGTATAATTTTTCCCAGTGGAAAGAGTATAAAACAAGCAATAAAGGTTAATAAAGTAGGATTTATTGAATTCATCAAATTTTGGTAGAACTCGTCAGCTGAATACTCTACATAAATGGATATATATACTTTCGAAATTATATTGGGAGATATAAGACTGACAAGCAAATAAACTACATTGAGTTAGTCATGGAGAAAGACAGGTGCGAATGTTTTCCAGGTCATGTTTAAATAGATAAGGCGAGAGAGAGTATGAGAGATCAAAATTAAGATAAAATGCATTACGCTCCAATTACATTACCTAGATAAACAATTAGTCAATAAAAGTGGATGGTGACTAGCAGTGGAATCCAGGATGCGCATTTCTATTCCTATTTGGGACTCGTCAGCTGGATGTGCTTGCATTCCTCAGTGAGTGATGATGTTCCCACCGAGGCTCGAACCCAGTCATTAGAAAATATATCAAGAATTGCAAACAGAGTAATATCGATAGTAATAGGTATAATAATAATAATGTTGAAAAGAGTTAAGATAATGCTACTGATAAAAGATAGTTTTAAATGAATCAAGAATAATAAGTAAAACGTATTACCATGGTAGATTCAGAGTGACGACCATCTCCTTTTGTACACAGAGACCTGGTTTATAAACTCGAAATGCACAAGCCTCCACTGTAGAATGATTTTATTCGATAAAAGCACACAATAATGCAGTACTACTTACTGATGACGTCTCAAGCACAACTTATTGCTCATAATTATTTGAGAGTACTTACAAAACTTGAGAACTTCGTTTAATCTGATTCCATTATTTCGTATCCTTTAATTTAATTGGTAGTAATATATTTTCATGAATAATTCCCATCCAGACATGAATGAAAAACAAAACACGTAGTTCAAAGAAGAGTTTTCTTTTCAGTGAATTCATTCACTTAGTTGTACAGTCGCAATTACATATAATTATTTTTGTATGTGTGCGTGTGTGTATACATTAGCTTTGTCAGACAAAAATGAAAATTAGTTAGAGTTGCTGTTTATGTCATCAAAATATTTCAAAAAATGTGATGAATGATCAGATTGTAAGTAGAGGGGTGAAGATTAGTAGGAGGGGAGTGATGATGGAGTTGTCGAAAAATAGTTGTCAATGTCAGTCAATGCATAAGAGAAGTTGAATAAGTGTATTGTAGTCACGTAATAGGCTGAATAATTTAATGAGTGAGAAATGAAGGGAAATATGGAATTATGTAGGAGTTGTCAAGAGATACAAGAGTTAGAAAAGCAGGTGCACAAATAACAATTCAGTAGAAATCAACACGGTTGTCGCCATGACAGTAGAAGTGGTAAATATATTTTTTTCCATATCTCTGGCATTGGTGTTGTCATTCCTATTGCATTTGTTAGATGTAGATCCGATGAACAAAGATTCACTGATCAACGTCTCCCTCCAATTACCTATATTACCTTTTAGAACTGTTTTTTTCTTATTCCTTCACGTTCCCAGTGGAACATAGGACTTCAAGCTAGAGACTTGAAGTTTCGGTAGCAATGGTGTTTATTTTTACGGGATGGGGTTGCTAGCCTCATGCCCAACCTTCCCTCTTTACCAGTCTTATTACTAGCTTAGCGAGGCAAAGGAGTTCGTCAGCCGGGGATCGAACCCCGAACCACATGCGTGGTCGGCGAGTATTCTACCGCTGTGCCACCGACGCACACTTTATAACTGTAGCTCTGTGAATTTGTGTTAATGCATGCATTGAGATTGATGAGTTATTCTCAAAGCTATTCACCTTCCTGGGTTCATGCATTCTACAGCCGACTAAATTCCTATTTTTTAATAAGGTGACTGCTCTCGATCTCCTGGTATGATTCACAATCACTGCAAGGGGAATATCAGTATCAATTAAATCAAAGGATAAAAAATGACGGAATTATATCAAGGATGTTTGGAAGTTATGCGAGTAGCTTGGTATAATTTATTATTTTCCCCATGGGTTCCGCCGAGGGGAACATGGGGCTTCAACAACACATCTCCACTTTGTTCTATTCTCTACCATCCTCTTCAACTGGGTCCATGATTCCCCCATAGTCTCTCGCCTCCTCCGCCTTGTCACACGATCTTCTCACACGGAAAACCCACTCGTCAATTCCCACTGGGGTCCCATTCGAATGATGGCCTGCATTTAGCGCAATGCCATTCGACGGCCTCTTCAGCTTATGGTCGATCCATCTCCATTTTCTCTTACATATTTGTTGAGCAATCAGCTCTTGGTTGGTTTGTTGCCACAGTTTCTTGTTCCTTATTCTTTCTGTCCACTTGACCTTCGGTATGCAGCCAGCTAAGACAGCTAATGATAAAAGTCTGTAACTTGTTGGAAATCCTTTTCCATGACACTTGATATGATTATGAGCAATAAATTGTAATCGGAACGCCATCATTAAGGAACATTGTATCACTTTGTGTTTTCATCAAATAAAATTATTCTACGATAGTTTCCTCACTACTTCAGTAACGATAACACTAACAAGCACACAAAAACAGAGCACCAATCCTCACCACTACAAACTATTCATAAATTTAACATTTTTCTTACAAATCATCTAGTTCAATATCACTTACTCCCATTTGTAACAATAATTTCATATCCTCCGGTGTTTTCACACATTTACGAAGTCAAATAAACTTACATACTACCGTGTTGTTGACCATACACTGTTCGTTTGCACTATAATTTATATATTCTTCCGCCTGTTTCTGCACTTGCAACACAGTATACAATCAAGTATTTACAGTATTCAGCTGGCAAGTTATATTAAATTTTACGAGATCCTGTTTTCCTAACCTTTGTTGGTTATTTTTGAATTTATACTGGGAAAGAGTTACTTTGACTTCCAAAAATATCTATCATTTAGTCAAAATGTCTTGACTTACTTATTATATACGTCTAAGGTTCGCCTAATTAAAACTAGAAAATCTGTGTATAGAGAACTGACACAAGATGTTATTTGTTTCTTCTTGTTTCTACTTATGATTTACAGCTGTTGGTTTCTTATTTGTCTCGCTATTATAATTTGTATGTTGTTAGATGTCAGGAGTCAATCAACAGAAAGCTACAAATTTAGATTATATCATACTCTGGACGAATCCAGAAAGTGTTTATTTTTGTTAGCAGACTCAAATTTGCATCGCTCAGTGCTGAATTCTAAATATTTACCGAAAGACCTGAATCTTCTATAGTTGTGAATATTTCAAGCCTAATTGATTAAAAAAGTTATGAAGCTTGGAAACTGAGTAAAAATTTATGTACTAGGCTATGAGCCAAACCTGTTCAAAGATTAGTAAGGAGAGCAGGGTTAATGTTTATGAATGACTGATTCAAAGTCGATTGCTTTAAAAAGTTATCCACATCGCAGCTCAGGCGCTTCAAAAGCGTTAAATAATCTTTCAACATGATAGTCCTAAGCTGATTCACTGCTAGTACAGTACTGATGATTTAGACTATAGGAAAGTGAAATAACCCTCTGATATTTGAACCATTTCTACTTCATTAGTAAACATCACTGATTAACATAGTCAAGTTATGATTATTTACAACAGTTAGTAGTTTGGCAAGGGCTTCAGTAATTACCTTTTTAGAACCAGAGGAATCTTCAACACTGATAATGCGGTAGCAGTGTTTGTTTGAATCATAAAAGAAGTTAACATCGACTGCCTTAGTGCTTGATGGAATCCATGATTTCTTTGTTTGGGGATTGATTGTAAATACATGAGCCTGACAAGTAAATATTGGGAGTTCTCTGTAAAGGAGAAAAAAAGGATGGTTAGACAATAAGTTCTACTCAAAACACTCACTTCCAACAGATTATAGAAAAGTACTAATTGTTTCCCTTATTTGAACAGTCTTCAGGATCTCATTATAATTTGAATAATAAAGCATATGATTACATAGGCAACATCGACTATAGGGTCGACCCGGCCATGTGCATGGTCGGCGAGCGTCCTAACCGCATCCCCACGCACAAGCGATCACAATAAACAGAAATGAATTGCAAAAGTGGTATGGGATATAGTCAAATTTCATTTACTTCCATTATATGCAGTGAACTTCTCCATGAGAAAACACTTTCCGTTATCAAGTCAAAAGCGTACGCATACGCTTTGGTTTTCAAGTGACTAGTGACACTTCCAGAGATGAAGTAAATTCAAAGCATTTTATACAATTCCTTATTCTTACCGTAATCAGGGATATCTAAGGTCAAATGGAACATTCACCTACAACTAGTCACACAATTCTTAGAGATACATTTATTTCGAAAATGGTTATAAATAAATGTTCGTGAAACACTTTCGTGGTATCGTTTTAAGCAGAATTTAAGCCAAGCTTGTTCATCAAACTTTTACACGACATCCAACCGCATTAACATCTGATTTCAGTCACATGACTTGATTTGAGTACAGTATTCCACCTTTATGGTTGAATAATATCGTTAGGAGAAAGGTAAAGATAAATACTGGGCCGATGAATATTTCCCAAGAGGAAACTTTGAAATTCATTCGACCTGACAAAAACCACCTGTCAAGATTCTCTTACTTTTGCAATCCTTTTCCTATCACAGTGGAGATTTAAATGCCAAGAATAAAACACACAATCAAACGTCGTTAATTGATTGTCAATATTAAGATAACAGAACGGTAACAAAGTGCGGTTGTATTGAAATCTCAGATGGAAAGCTGAACAAATTTCTCACTAATAGTTAATTGAATATTGGATATTTACATAGCCTAGTAAGCTGACTACATTATTTTCATAATTAGCTATGTAGGAGATAACCAATAAGATCTTAAGATAAAGGAGTAAAAAGTTCGATTCATAATTACTATACTGTACTTTTGAAGAAGTTAACACCAGTACACCTGTTTCTTCGCCATAAACACTTGTAAGATGTTACAAGAATCTCCTGATCAGAATATCGTCTTTGCTTAAGTAAAAACTGTAGGTTGCGCAACCAACCTCGCCGAGTTTACTAGTTCACTAGCCGCTCCTAGGCCAGAGAAAAGCGGGAGGGTTGGGCATAGATCTAGCAGCCCTGTTGCGGAAAAAAAACCCAATCACCTCAGAAACTCCGAAGCACAGCAAAAAATCGAACGATTAACTTATTCTTCTCTGGAACAGAAGAGACGGAATGACACTAGTTGGTGAAATTCTTCGGAAAGCCAGTCAGTCCATGTATCTCCCTTCAATGCAAGCAAAAATAGGCACAGTTGCATGGGATTTTTGCACGATGCTCGAAGATTGGAAGGCCAATCAGGTTGCAAAAGAAATGAGATATGGCACAGAAGTGCTAGGAATCTGCAAGTACAGATGGAATGGATGTGGACTATCCAAAATGTTAACTGGAGAGTCAATAATCCACTATGGTAACAAAGACAACAACCACAAGCGCACCGAGGTGACTGTCATGATATCATCAACAGCAATCCAAAATCGTGTGCAGTGAGAACCAATCTCTCCAAGGACAACGGTAGCAAGATCCAACTCGAGAGGAAAAAGGCTAAAATTATCTAATGCTGTGCACTTACAATCAACTCAGAACGAGTGAAGGAAGGTTTCTATAGACAACTGCAAACGGTACCGGATAAGATACAAACTGGCAACATCAAAATCCTTAGGAGCGACATGAAAACTGAACTGAGAGCAGAGAATATCAAAAGAAAACTTATCATGTATGTAGAGGCTCTCGGTGAAATGAATGAGAACTCTTTGCAAACATTTGTAGATTCAATAATTTGGTGACTGGAAGCAGCGTGTACAATCACAAGGGGACATGTATTTCACCTGAAGGACACACAAAAAATCAGACAAACTCTATCTCAATATCAAGGAAGGAGAGATGTAGTCTACTGGAAACAGAATCGAGAAAGGGAGTAAAAGTGGGCTCAGACCATTATGTAGTGCATGGAGCTCAAAGTCAGGCTGGAAACCTTCAAAGCAACTGCAGACAGCCCACAATTCAAATTCAACACTCAGAAACTGAAATACAAATCTCCAAAAGATAACTGCAGCTATCAGAGCAAAGTCGGAGACACTACATAAAATTAATGGGGAAACCTGAATAGAACACTGGAATTCGCTGAAAATGATACTTAAGGAAACGTGTATATTCATTTTAGGAAGAAGAAACGAGACAAGGAATGGCTCTCTGAGGATACATGGGAGCTTATAAGGGAGAAGGGTGAGACGAGATGACCCAATGCAAAGATGGACAACAGAAAGAGAAACTGAGTTCAATGTACATCGCACTGAACGAAGAGGTGAAGAAGAGTGTGAGGACAAAAGACAATTCTACAACTCACTAGAAACTGGAGTAGAACAAGCTGAGGGAAAAACAGACCTCAGAAATACCACCAGGAGCCACAGAGTTGACAGTGAATATCAATCTTCCAACAAAACAGAAGTCTTGAATGCAATAAAGCTACTGAACACCGGGAAGTCAGCAGGACCAGACAAAATTCCCATTGAAGCACTGAAAACTGATCCAGAGACCACAAGGGATGTGCTCACGGTAATATTGCAGAACGTTTATAAGAAAGGAAACGTAGTGGCTGATTGGAAGAATGGTTACCTTGTCAAGCTATCAAAGAAGGATGACTTACGCCTCTGCAAGAACTGGCATGCTCTTGTCCACGCCAAGGAAAATATTAAGTCACTTCATTATGGAGAGACTTAAGGATGCTCTGGATGTAAACCTCCTCCCTCAACAAGCCGTATTCAGGAGAAGTAAATCATGTGCTGACCAATTCCCTACTTTACGCACCAACATCGAAAATAGCATAGAATGGCAGTCAAGTCTCCATCCCAACTTCATTGACTTTGAAAATGCAATCGACAGTGTTGATCATGGAGTAACGTGCGGTTGCTTTAACACTACTATGAGCAGTGACGCAAACACTTATAAGACACATTCAACAGCTACACGAGAGTGTCACATGCCAAGCGATTCACAATAGAAAAATCAACAAAGCCTTTGAAGTAAAGACAGAAGACAAGGCTATCTAGTATCACCGATGATTTTCCTTATGTGGTGGACTGGATTATGCGGCAGGCCGTGGTGTGTGATAAGGACAAATACTGAACCGACAAGATCTGGATTTCACAAATGATTTGCGTCTTGAGTCTCACAAACCAGAATATATATAAGCGAAAAGTGACAAGTCAGCAGAAGAAGCAGCGACGACAAGACTTCAGATGAATCCAAAGAATACAGAGTTGATAAAGATACTTAATCAGCAACAACAAGCACTAATCACCATAAGCGAGAGAAATCTGAAGAAAGTCACCTTTTCCACATATCTAGGAATCGTTGTTTACACCACAAGCAGCACGGATGAAGACATCAAAACCCGATTCGGAAAGGCAAGGCACACATTTATCACTCTGATATCAGTTTGTGAATCCGGTGCATAGAGAACCAAATTCGAAATTTCAGAGTTAAGTCATTTCTTCTGTATGGGTCAGAGACTTGGTACGTCACGAAAAGCATTAACAGCAGGTGGCATACTTTTAACAGTAGCACCATTCTCTGACTCCATGCTGAAGATCTGATGGTAAAAAATAACTAGCAACAAGAAACTCTTGGAATGAACCAACTAAGAACCTATTGCTTAACAGACATTCAGAAGAAAATGTAGGCGGATCGGACACGCTGAGAAGACCACTGATTAGCATCGCATGCCAGACTCTCGAGTGGAACCAGAATGGGAAACTGTGATTTGGGCTCTGAGAGTGACATGGAGGAGATGAAAGCTTATGGGCAACTGTAGAGCCAGCTAAAGAGGACTGCAGAGAACAGAACAAAATGGAGCCGTATGTTCTACATGGAACCCAAGAGAATAATAATAAAGTAATATAAGCTTGCCTCATTATTTTTCAGTGTTTGGATTTTTGGCACTTAGATGGATTGTCGGTGACAAACTGTGATTAGAATATCTCATAAAATATATCAACCCATAGGTATGCCGTCCTTCGGACTTTAACTGTCTTCAAAAAAATGTTTAATCATGTTTCATAGTTTATAGCTTTACCAATGAAACAATTCTTGCTATCGTCAGATTAGGTGAACCAGAAAAACTTTTCATGATGCAGATTGCTTCACTCTCAATCAACATTAGGATTTGAAATTTCATGAAAAATGAGGAAAGTCTCATACAAGACATTAAGACACGAATTTGTGAATCCTCTGTTATGTGTGAACTGAGGTTGTGCTGAAAACTAGTACAACATAAAGCAGCTAAGATATGCCCAAATTTCTGAGATAGTTCTACTTAGATAACATGTGAACAACAGAGTATTGTTGGCTTCCTAAATATGTATGCAATACGTCTAAATGTAACTTGTGTTACTGGTAAGACTTATCAGGAGTATATAAAGAGACGTTCATTGGCATAAGAATATCAAATGGCGGAGAGGAAGATTTAACGTCAAAGCGATCAAATGATTTAGCGTTGCGGGAAAAAAGAAAACAAAGAAACACAATACGAAGGGTGGAAGTAGCACAACACAGAAATCTGTGCAAATGACGATTTGAAGGTAAGGTGACCATAACCTCGCTATGTAGTGATACCAAATAGTGAATAAACATTTCTTCACCTACCCTCTTGTCTTTTACCGTTAAATGAGTACATAACCAGGATATTCAACTTCGAAAGCATAGTTACAACGCCAGATCTGGGCGAAAAAGGCATTTGATCGATAGGTGAATAAGTCCGTGGTTATATATCCATACTGAAACATGATTGCTAATGACTATATGTTAACATGCAATGCTTTACAGCAATCTTACACGACTCATGACATATAAGGGAATTGAAGATGAGGATGGTGTCGTTGGACAAAACCTACTGATTAATAGTTGGTAATTAAGTTCAAAAACACAAAATATGGAATACTAGACACATGTTTCAGATATCATAGTCAGTTAACCGTTGTGGCTTGGAAAATGAGTAGAGCATAGTCCTGATAGTAAAAGCCGTCGAAAATTGGTTGTACAGACGCAGAATAAGGAAGAAAACTTATTGATTGTCAGAAAAGGCACTAATTCATAGCAAGAGTCCTATTTTTATATAAGACTAATGGAAGTGTAAATACATTTACTAAGCATTTAATTTCTTCGATATTTTCTTGAGATTTTTGTCCTATTCTACACAGATTATATTCTTCATGCTGCATTCCTTGATTTTCTTTGACGAAAAGAGACGCAAGAAGTTTATTAAAAGCATTGCTTTTTTGTGCGAATAGTTTCGTGAAAACAAGGATGATTGAAGTGTTAAATGGAAAAATTGGGAAGGTGAGATATGATACTGCATTTTAGCGAGCTTTTGCTCACATGCTGTCAGATCATAACTGCTCATATGTCCCACCTTTTTGTTTGTATATATATCCTGATGGCTAACAAACAAGCTTTTATGACAGGACAAGGTTTCTTGAATAAGGAAATGTTGAGAGGATGCATTGAGAGGCAACTGAATGTTCAGATTAAGGGAGTGAACACATTTTTGGCAATGATCCTGATAATTCAAACAGATGGGGACAAATTAATTCGAAGAGTGACTGTAGTTTGAGTAATCAGTGATAGTGGGGCGAAATTCGCTAGAACCATTTAACACCAAGAGTATATTTTCGTATAGATACCCAAATAAATGCTAATGATATAGTATGGAAATTGGATATAGACCCATAGTTATAAAGAGACAGACACCTAAGAATTATGAAACCTAATTCAACTTCCAAGCTAAAAAGATTATTAGGACTCCTGACGTTTTAATTTCTTGTTAGTGGAAGTCATAGTTCCATAAATATTAAATAATAAAAATTTCATATGAATGAGAAGTAAGTCTTTGGAAAATAATTAATTCAAAGAGAAAACAAAGGAAGTCTAACAAACCCCATTCTAAAACAAGGCCAAGGTCATCAGAGTGACGTATGTATTCAGAAAACCACAAGCAAGTAAACGACTTGTTGACTTAACAAAACAATTTGACTTAAGGGAGTTCAATCATTCCACAATATGTTGGAAGACGATAATATTCATATGGAGTGCAATTCTCTTTTCATCATTTGTATTGAATGCTTATTTGATTTTTGAAAACCTAATATAGGTTGTGCATATTTTTTTATATTTTATTTATTTATATTTTTGGTTACAGCTTGATTCCACACCGTATTTTCAGTACAATTATGGAATTTTCAGCATGGATATCGGTAGCCCAAATTTTGCAGGCCGACCATAGATATCGGGGTGTGCGTCGGCAGGGGATCGAACCCCGGACCATGTGCATGGTCGGCGAGAGTCCTAACCACTGTGCCACCGACGCACAATAATTTAATAATTAATAATTTTATAAAGTGAAAACAAAAACAGATGGCTAATGAAATTTGGAATGCATACATATATTCATATACATATATATTCGGATATCAGTATTAATACAAGGATAAGAATAGATGGACTTCTCAGAAGAGTAAGGCAGAAGGGTGAAAGGACAACTTTTGGTGAATATCCATCATTAATGCAGTAACCACATTGGCTGGTAAAGAGTTGCAGGGGCGTAGTACTCGAAGTGGAAATAAATGGGGAAACACCGAAGCTTTCGCTCTCTGGTGCGGAACTCCCTTTCTTTTAAGTATCCTCCAACCATGACGGATGCGGTGCACCAATACCTCTCCGACATATTTTGTGTAGCGGAAGGTCATGCTGAACTTTGTCAAATCTCTCTGCAAAGTCTGAGCAGACCACTTGAACCGCAACATTCAGATTCCAGCATAGTGCCTATTCATTCCCAGCTGGTAGTCGATTTGTCACATAGGGCCTACCAATCCTGAAACTATTTTGTGATATATGGGGTACGTTACTCCGGTCAAGGTGTTGCCTGATGTGGATACCAGTCAGAATTTTTAATACTTCTGTTACCACTGGGAGCGGTGCTAATGGTCCATAATTGGTGGTATTTTGTTGATCCCTACTCTTGAAGATAGGAGACAGGATTTCTTACTCATACACCTATTTAAGTTTTCTTGAATGCACGAAGTCTTTGAGCAGAACACACAGGGGTCTTCGAGGAACTTCACAGAACTGTTTCACAACACATGAGCGAATGTCATATCTGCCAGAGGTGAGTTCCTGCAACTTCCCTAGAAAAATTGCAGGTCCCACTTTGAGCGTACCTATTGAGCTTTTCTAGTCAAATTAGTGGTGCAGGCCTTAAAGCTTACTCCGGTAACACCCATATTGCTACCTAGCTGTCTGTTAAAGGCCGAACTGACTACTTATGACGTTTCCAAATGAGTGAGATATTGGTCGTCTGGACCTACTAAGGCCCACGACACCTGGTTAGCAGGTATTCTCTCCAACATGAATCAGCACAGGCTTTCCTGGTTTTTCAGGAGGTTTCGAGAAAGATTTACATGAAATTGACGCCTGTCACTCCTGATTCTTACTTTGCATCAGCTCCTGAGTTCCAGGTATACCCTTTGGTCATTCTGTCACTTGGAAAGTCAAGCTGCAGAGCAAGCATACCGCTTTTCTTGCAGAAGACTCTCTTCAGCCATGAGAATTGTTTCTTAGGTTGTTATGAAACTAAAGTGACGGTATCTGTGATTTTGCGTGAATCTTTTTCGACCATTTGCTAATGTTCCTGTACTGATAATTCAGCCCAGTCTGTGAACCATTCGGCGTCAGGCGAAATTCTTCACATTTTGATGAAGTGAGCTTTGCTATAGCAGAAACACGATCATGTAGCATCCCAAGGTAGACGCTTGCAAACTACTAGACCAAATACTATGGCCACGTGGTCACTGTTACCTTGAGGGTTCATTACTTGGACGTTTTCCACATGTAGATTATCAATAGTTGGTATATAATCCAGTTTTGACGACTTTCAGCTAAAGCCCACCAAGTGACGTCTCCAACGTTCCGAGGCAGTTATGCATTTGTAATGGTGTGTTGCAGATTTTGATGGAATTTTCCTCGTGCAAAATTTGGCCCTATTTAAAGTTGTGGAGTACTGAAGTTCTCAGCTATTTTAGATGGGCGTAGCCCAAGTCCTACATTCCTGTGTTAGTGTGAATCAGTAGCTGATTGTGTTCTGCTTCACATGAGAAGGTTTGATGGATTCCTTTCAGAAAATTTTTCCCAGATCAAATGTTGGTTCGGACACACGAGGGTTTTGTTTTTATTGGAGAACTGGTGTTCACTGGCAATTCTGCCACTCCTTATTATGACATTTATCCATCGGGATTCTGATGTCAATATTCAGTTCTTTTCCTTTTTTTATTTACAGTTGTCTTTAGGGAAGTTGCATCTCTTCTTGGATGTAACTTTCTTTATTTCAAGTCAAACCGTACTGCCATTATCCTTCAGGCGATAGCTTCTAACTGCATAAAAGCTTGGATTACTGCTGATGGCTTCGTGGCAGCCACCTAATCGAGGCGCTTGTGGTTGCTGTCTGTGTAATCACAGTAGATTATTAACTATCCAGTTAACATTTTGGATTGTCCACATCTTTCCATCTGTTCTCTCAGACTGCTGACACTTCTATATCATGTTTTCTCACATTTTCAGTTTGAATAGTCTCACCAATCTGAAACACGGTGAGGACATTCCACATCTCTATGCTTATTTTCCTTTCAACTACAAGGATTTATTTCCAGAATGGATTTCTGATATCCTTTACTCATTGGCCTTATTTGCGCTCTTGTTCATATATTATAATAATTCTAATTTCATCTGTTACGCAGAAATATCTGCATAACTTGAGAGACATATAGAAACTACGGAGCTGTCAAAAGGTTGACTGTTCTTGACATAGTGAGAGCTTAACCAATTCTGGAGAAACATTTAATGATTTTCTGCAGTTCAGTGATATTTTTCAGTCAACAACAGCTTTCTTAATAAGTCATCAGCGCATAATATTCAAAATAAATTAAATCACTTTCTAACTGATAGAATTCCATGATTTGGAAAGTGGGTATTACCACATCTCCAGTAGTTAACTTCTCTTTTGTCGTGCTGATATAGGTAATGGAAACACAACAAATAGTTTCGGCCTTGTTTCATAGGATCTTATTGGTGTCAGATATTCAGAAAAGACAGTGCATAGGGAGGTGATGTACAATGAACCTTTGGACTTTCGTTTGAACTCACTCACCCACTTTTGCCACTGCTTCATCTTTTTGATTTGTGACTCTCGAGTGAGAATATACGTTATAGAGTGTTATATCTTACGCGCTTAAGGGCTTTCTCAGCTTTGATTGGCTAGTACAGTGGCGGAGAGTTTGACATTAAATTTGTCCTCGGTAGGTCATGCCATGTGCAGGTTTGCGTTGTTGCGGCATGCGTTGTTTGCAAGCATGTTTGATGAATATAAATGTAAAATGTTGGTATTCTAACGTTTTCTTTTACTTATTTTGTGCATGTACCAGGCTTGGTTTATCATACACTCGGTTTGTTGGCCTATCGGTTGCTGGCGATGTCAAGGAATCCGTGAGTTCTAGGGCTTTTCTCGAATTTAGGTTATACATGTAGCATTTTATTGATGGATATTGCGACACAGATGGATGCTAATTGACAACGCCTTTTTAGTTCATTGCAGGTAGGCAATGCGGGTGAAAGTACTGCTGACGTCAGTGGAATTTTCGATGAAATTATGCTGGGAAGGCGTTTCTTTAGTTGGGAGGAATTTGAGAATTCCTTAGGAGAATTTCAACAAGTGAGGAAGTCATTTAATGCTAACAATGTAGTTGTCCTGCACTCACTATGTGCATATTCAAAGCAAAACAACAGGGGACGACAGATATAAGTACGCTTACGTTTATTTTAAATGCACTTTTGGCGTGAACCGTGGAAAAGCTGGCCTGAAATTGCGAAACAAGTCGTAAGAGGAATTGTATTATGATAATATGTATGTTTAAGGTCTAAATGTTGCAACTGTCTGTCCGCATTTCGCGTAATTTTGCGTTATAGTGAATACGTGATAACATCCCAAAAAATGGTCCACAACCATCCATGCACCAGGATGTATATGCAGAATGATCCATGGTCTAGATGACTGTCAGCGGAAGAGAAAGAAAATGTAGAACCACTTCTTCACCAATCACACTCATCAGATGAAATAATTATGCATGTTAAGGAAACATTCCACAAGGACATAACTCTTAATGACGTTAGAAATCTGGAAGCTTCAGTTAATAAAGGTAACGTTAATGTAAATGTAAACTACTTCAGGTATATCGAGCCGTTATGACATTTTTGAATTCCTTAAGTCCCGTGGGAAGTTATTGGAGTATCATTCAGATGAACCGATAAGGAATTCACTAATGAGAGTTTGTCTTTCTACTTATGAGCAAATAGATCTGTATAAACAGTTTCCGGAGGTTGGTGGCATCGATTCTACATATAACACAAATAAAGGAAAGTAAGTTTACCAATTCATTAGTCAACATGCAGGTATTCTTTGTTCCAATTAGTAGTAACGGATAATTTTGGTCGTGGGAGACCGGTTCTATTTGCTTGGACGCGAAAGGAATTCAAGCGTGATGTTGTTTGGATTTTGGACTCGTTTCGTAGAATAAGGGAAGACACCTCTAAAACAGAAACATTCATTATGGACTGTGCGCAATCTGAAATAGGAGCAGTGAAGTTAACGCACGGGGAAGCGCACATTGTTCTGTGTTCTTTCCATGTTTGTCGTGCATTTTGTCGTAAAGTAAATTATTTAAAAGCATAATTAAAATTTCAATTTTTGACGCGGAATCCCATTGTTAAAAATTACTTATGTCGCTTAATTCAGTGTAAAAGGAGATCTGAGTAATGCCTTTAATATTTTCATTTTTCCAGATTTAACTTCTATTTCAGAGTTATAAGCAGATTGGATGTTGGTGTTAGTCAGTAT